GTAGGAAATTAATCGCAAAGGTAAAGCCCAGAAAACTACTGCTTGGGTGTGGTGTCTGGATTACAAAAGGTTGAGAAAATAAGGGCTGTTAGAGAAGTTAAAGCACCGCAGTTAAAGTGACAGATTTATCCTTATTCTTCTCCATTACTGCTTGTTTTCTGTTATTTTAACTCTTCGCTGTCTTCAACTTTCCGGTTGTATAAAGATTCCAAGAAAACAGTTATGAAGTTCGGTCAGAATTTGATGCTTAATCAGCTGGGCTGATATTTTGCTCGACTGTTTTCTGCGTTATAGTAGGTTGACCTCGGCTCTGCGTGTTTTCATTTTGTGTTCCATTCATTATTCTGAGATACCGTCTCAATTTTCATGGTCTATCTCCTGAATTCGTGTTTTTCTTTTGCGACGAGCATTGGTTTCCGTTTATCGGGATCGTTCATCGTTATCAGTTTGAATGAGTTCGTCCAAGCTCGGAATTAATCGTTGATACCGTGCTGAAGTTGTTTATTCCACTTCAGAATTGACCGCTACTGTGAAAGCTAAGGTCCTTCGCAGAAGATCAAGATTTTGGAGTTCGCTAATACGCGTATCGAAATTACGAACTCGAGCGGAGGCAACAAGGGCTACATACAAGTTTGTAGTGACCAAGCAACTCCCATTCTACATGTAACATCCTCCTGTGCATCTCATTGTTTTACTACACCATAGTTAGCTCTTTGGTCAGCACGTGTTTGCTTTCATTTTCCGCACGCTTCCCTATCTCCCTTTTGCTCTGCAGGTCGTAATAATACAACCCGTTCTCCGTCTCGTTCTGTTTTCGTACGAACGTCCGTTTGCGACGTATACGTATTAGCTCGGGGTATTGCTTAGTCAGTGTCTACAAATTAGTTTGGGAATTACATAATGTGCCCATTCAGCACAGGGGTACACTAGAGAATCGCCGAAGGGCATCGAATTGGTTATGAAGAGAAAATATAAAATGAGTGCTAAATGACTTAAAAAAATTGAAAGCATCAAGGAATAATAAATTCCTGACTACTGAAAAGCATTCAGTGCTTCAGTTCTCCCTTTCCTCGGTAATATTTGGATTTGATGCGTAATATCCTTCTTTTGGAAGATTGTTCAAGAGTACATGTGCTTGGAAACAGGTCAAATAGAAGCACTTCATTTATTTGTTCGTCAACGGTCATTAGTTTGTTGTAGCTTAATATCTATGGAGTAATTATTACTACGGCTCAAAAGTGTGACAGGCTCTTTGGATTGCAGTTCTGTGTAAATAGTCTAATTTTTGATGCTTATGTTATAGATGTTCAGGTCCGAAGAGTATCAACCGCTAATACCATTTGTCATTTCCCGTTCCGCATGGAATCTAGGCAGCAACAAGTCACTGGGCGTCAGCGCGAGACCTTACAGATCATAACAGGAAACGATTTACCAGGATTCGATTGTTGAGTACTCTCTCCGATGTTACCAGGAACTTGCCTAAAGTCTCGTCTTCGGGTGCATGCTGTTCGCACAAAGTGGTTAGTAATTTCCGCAGCAATAGGATATTGTTTCCACACACTCCTCACGGAAAGTGGAATGTTGAAAGTGCATCGATTCCCACCATGCGACAAGTGGTTTTGTAGGGTGTTGCGGTTAAGGTACTTTACCATTCACTCAGCTCTTTTTGTGCCCCGACGAAGTTCAACCCATTGTCTGGTTAGACGTTCGAGGGATTACCCAGGCTATTGACTGTGGATTGCCCGCGATTGAATACAGTTTACCAGACAGTCGGACGGTTTATCCATCGCTATTTTGTGTTTCACCCATACCGGACCAAAGTAGTCTACTTCGCTTTCGGCAATGAGCTATCACCCTCATTGCACTCAGGAATCGCGCCATTGATAGTTTCCCAACGGTGGTACCGGAAAAACAAAGTTGCCCACGATACCGTTTATCGCTTCTCTTAACTATCCAAAAATATCGACCAACCGTGCTTAGTAGACGATTACCACCGACGTGAGCGTTGAATGTATGCGTGGCGTGATATTTGTTGGATAAGATAATGGGATGTTAGGCATCCCAATCCGATCATCACATACTTTCAGTAGCCCGTCTATTAGTATCGGGCAAAATGTTTGAAGAAGCGAGCGATACTTAGGCAGAAAAACAAACAATAAGTTTCGCCCATCAGCGTCCAGTTACGACTTTCTACAGTAGGCGAATTTGAAAATGCTGGAAAATATCGACGACTGATCTGTGACGTTTGCTAATAAAAACAGGCGAGGGACACTACTCACAAATAGCCTCATGCGAATAGGAAGAATCTGATCGCGGACAGCAACTACCATAAATAATCCCCATTCAAAGATTAAAATGTAAGTAAATGAAAGCACAGTTTACAGGCTTGAGGTAAGACTCAAATCAGTAAAATTCGTACGGGAATAATCAATCTAAGCAAATGGTACTATATTTAGCCTTGCCTTCAAAATCATTATTATCACAATTGGAGGCTTTGGTGGCAATTCCACTTCATCAGGCTCAAATACAGAATCACGCAAACGAGTTAGATCGGTTGCTTGATCGCGAGTAATTCTGAGATCGATCTTGAAATCCAAGCTAGGATGACTGTGAGATAAAGCATGTTGAAAATATTAGCCGGTGATGGTTATGAAACCCGAATTTTAAGAAAACAAAGGTAATCGGTGTTCCCTAAAATATTTTCATTTCAAAAGCGTCACCTCCAAGGAATCCAGGGGATGTATCACAGAGCTTTTATATTGCCACATATGGAATAAGTTCTGAAACAAATGTAGTGAGACGCGAATAACAGACAATGAGTAAGATGAGATAAGCTGAAGCACAGAATCAACATGGAGATTAAGTGTTAACAGTGCACACGGAGTGCATGTACTTAGGTCTCCGCTAGGTACGTGGACGCCAATCCGAACTGACAGCGTTAGGTGTTGAGGGTGAAAAACACCTGCAAAAAAACAGAGGAGCTTGTGANTAAGCAGATGCTATTGGTCACTTGGATTCTCTACACAAAGTGAATGCAAAGAGTCGGCGGGGGTGACTCGTTCAGATGGCGGTCCCACCAAACTGGATCCACAAGACGAATTGCCTAGTTGACAGGAATCCAGCAACCGAATCAATTCACGCGAGGACGGACCCCCGGGACCGGTCGAGGACGGAATACAATCGGCATTCGTGAACAAGAAACTAGCCGGTAAGGCGGAATTGCCAGCCATTCCCATTAAACCGTTTACGCCTGCAGGACTAACAGCACCGGGTATACCAACTATACCGACAGACAAAGGGCCAGTACCGGTACAATCTAAAAGTAAGAACAGTATGTGAAATTTCAAACGTTATTGAGCATCAACAAGGGGTTGTGTGCAGAATTACAGAAGAGTAAAAGTTGCACAATTATCTGTGGTTACGGGAATCAAATGAACAGAAGGATTTCGATCACTTTGTGAGAGATCTAATTTTGATTGGATCGGATTGCATGTTGTTTTACAATGATAGAGCATGTGCATGTACGTGTTCAAAGATACGGACGAAAGAAAGCTCTTGGTGTGAAAACGTGAATAAACTTACCGGTATGATTGAGATAAGCATCAAAACCCATACCAGTGTTGGCCAAACCGGGGTTTTGTTTTATCAGACTGAGCGCTGTGGTCAGATCCCATACCTGAAAGGGACAGCAATACAACAGGATAAATGTATAACCATTTATTGCTTTTGTGTAACATTCACGCAGTATAACCGTTGGATCTCACGGAGACAACTACATTCTGAGTGGATTTCGACAGATGATTCATCATACTGGGTTGCCACGTATGTTCTCGGATCATCCAGGAAAATATACACTTTGATTTCGCTCCGGCCAGGATTAGTCAGTAGTGTACATCCACCAACCCACAAGGATTTAAACTCTGGAACCCTAGCATGTGTGAGCGGAAGCGTGAACGGTGTTGTTTTTATAACAGTTAATCAATATTGAGGGCGGATGCGGTGTACTGAATGTCAACTCAAATCAAATTTTCTGCAACCAAATTAACGGTTCCAAGCAAGTTTGGACAAGCGAGCCGAGTTAAACCGGTTACTCTAAACTTCCGGTTTGAATAATAAAACTAACCATTATTTGCAACTAACGGTTCTTTTTATTGAATGCCCTTCAGACAACTGTAATGAACAAATCTCTGTTCACCAATCTCTTAAACACAAATAGATCGATGGGTGCAGTGGGCAGAATGGAAAGACAACAGTATGAAGCAATCCGAAATCACTTACTGAAAGCTTGGAAATAATGCTCATGCAATGCATTCGTTTTGTGTAGTAGTTTTAAATTGAGTCAATAGACTAATTAAAAAACCGAACAGTGCTCTGCTAAAGCACACTGGCGATTGTGCGATATAAAAAATATTGGACGATTCGATAACAGACTGCTTAGGACAGATGATTTGTGCAGAAGACGTGTTTGATGTGTAACCAAATTGAAAAATATCCAGAACAAATACAAACGACTTGGAAAAACCTGATCTACCAGTTCTGGAGTTCCTGGATAGCAGCGTTTGGCTATCAAATTCAACCTATAATATTTAGAAATGGAATAACAGTAGTTTGTCTTTCGTATACAGGGTTGAGGTAGGCAGCTAGAAATTCCAACCTACAGGAGACTGCCGTTTCATCGGGGCCAGGAAAACATATGAAGGCAAAAGGGAGCATATCCAGAAGAGCATTGAAGGACGACGTTTAAGGGGGGTGAAATAGTTTAACCAGAAAATGATGGACCCCTGACGTATTGTTTCAAAAGCAACTGATTAAGCCCAAGTAACACAGTGGTGATATACAAAATATCGTTAGACATTTCATTCATCATTATATTTTCAGAGAAGAATTCCGCAACACGAATCAATGTAAACTTTCAAGCTAACCGAAAAGATAGCCCCAATACCTAAATGATAAAAGTTAAACAAGAGGATGAGCAGGACTGAAGCCGAATCTATACCTGATTACTGATTACAGCTTACCTGAATCGCACCGTCTGCATGTCCGGTGAACAAGTAGCGCCGCGGATGTGCCCCGATTCGATTGGAGCCATCGTGCTCGTGCACCGAAAAAGCGGTGATCGGCACGCCATCGACCGAACGGATCACACAGACACTGTGATATGTACCGAAAATAAACAATCAAATGAACTAGATTTTAAAGGACGAAAAATGCAAACTGATTTATTAAAGCGGAAGAGTAAACGTGGAAAAAATGCGTACCACGGACACAAACTATACAAATCTTACTCCTCCGTACGTTTTAGACCGAAAAACTCTAAACGTGGAAAATACGGGGCAAACTACCCTTTGTGATTACAATGAATACCTAGCTGGATATCAATGTGGCGCCAATAGAATTCTGTTTTATGTGCGGAGGGATTCATGGGATAAATTCACGCAGCGCAATCGATGGATGGATTCTACAAAGCCACAGTGAAACAAGCCTCAAATGGTCACCAGTGGGGTGAACTAGGAAATGGAAACAACAATGAGAACAACTGTGCAATTCTCCTAGAGTTGGTGTATACGCCCGAAAACGTTCGTGTCGACTAAGGATCGCGATTGAAACACCTAGAGCACTATAACGTAGTTTACAACAGCGGATGAGTGCCATTGTTTAGCTGGAAGGAATTGTCCACGATTTACGAACACCGTACAGTACTGGGCCTGACAAACCAGCTTAGTTTAGTAGAAATAACCGTGAAGTACGCAGTTTAGTGTTTTAGGTTTTGGTCACTTCCTGTCAATAATTCTTGGACAACCGGATTAAACAAAATTGGAAGCCAAATAATAAACACAAGTTGATAAACTCTCAGGGAACTGTGTGCGATGACACTTTATCTGAAAGCCGACGAGCGTGTTGCTAAAACTCACCGTTCAACAAGGAAAACGCTTAACCTTCACTAGGATGAACCCAGTTTCGTGAGCGCGTTCAGCCCACTGAAGGTACAAAATGTAGCACACAGCTGCGAAATTGCTTACACTAATCGAGACAAGATGGGCGGGACGTAGAAAAGTTCTACAACTTGGAACTAGGTGATCGGGAAGATTGTAGTCACTGGTCTAAATAAGAATGAGGTTCCTAAATAGTGTTACTGGTTTTGAGCCCGTTGCAAACTTGTGGTCACGGTAACAAACGTGAATCACACTACTCAGGTATGAAAGGCTTGCTTCATATGAACCAACACATTGGGGGATTTTCAAGAAAACCCGATGGATAAAGGAATTTTCTAGTGAAGTGCATATGTATTAAACAATTCTGTATTCGTAGCACTGAAACCCAAAGAAGGTTCATTTTAATCTGATTCTAACTGTGAGGACGGAGCTTAAAGAACCCGTTAGGTCGCGCACGCATCCGCGTCACACCACAAGTACGCTCGCGACGAGCCAGGTAAGCTGAATTCGAGTTGGATGAGTGCAGGAGTCATCCAGTAGTTGTCCGATCGACCGATCCAAAGTGTCAAGGATGCAATCTGATTAGTACGTCACTGGGACGTTCATGCGTACCGGATCCCCCCTATATATTTGCGTATCGAACCTTAACCATGGAATAAACTCTTATCTCAAGTCATGCTCTCTCTCCACATTTGTTGTTCCGTGTTAAACAAGAGGCGCTCAATCGTACGTAATGGTCGACAGTGGGGGCACGGATAAAATGACCTAGGCAATACAGAGAATTCAACACGGTTACCGTCAACTAACTGGATCAGACATACCGCTTCCCGTTGGATGCCAACCGGACAAACAACTGATGTGCATGTGGTGTGAGTTTCTGCACAAAGACTAAAATATCTTCACGTTCCCCATACGGCCCTGGGTCATTCGCATAACGGTGAACATCGATTGAAGGCGCCGGACGACGGGAACCTCCGGTGGTAACGGGTGGTGCCGTGGACGAATGAGATGGGTTAGTGCCGAAATGCTGAGTTGAATTACTATGTCCAGTGGATCCATGAAATGTCTGACATCGACCCACTGGATGCTGTGCACCGGATGTATTTGTAAGTTGGTCTGAGGTGTCTGACAATCCGCAACCATCTCCAGAGTCATTAGTTCGGTTTCCGTTATTAACAAGGCTGGTACGGGCACTGGGGTTCCTAGATCAAAAACGATGGGAGAAACAACGAGAGGAGGAGAGTGATGAGAGAGTCGGAGTACCAAGTACATAACTGAGAAAAATTTTTGATTTCTGTGCTTATAACCACCACTCACTTTTATTTACGAATGGCGCCTCGAACAATGCCTCAGGACAAACACCAACAAATGTAGTGCGGTGTGTTCCCTAGAGCGTTATCGGATTATCGCAGATCACGTTTATTTTCACAGACTGTGTAAAGGCCTTCGATAAGTGAGTTTAAGAGGTTTAATCAGAGAAAAGTTAGTAACAATATTGTGAGAAAGGATCGAACATGAAAAGTGGTGGTTAGCCAACGGGATTAAGAGTAGCTTAAAAATGGACAGCGCGACTGAGAAAATCAGAACCACTTAGAGGGAAGACTCACTAACTAGCGAAGAAATGCTGACGCATATACAGTGAAAACCAGAATGAACAATTGGGTGGGACAACGCATTATGAGTAAACTCATGCGAAGAAGACAGCTACCTACGAATTAAGGTAATCACTGGAGAAGAGTATCTAAGTTAACAACGCGCAGAATCCATGTTGGAGTTAGGATTACAAATGTTGAAGGCCACGGAGCAGTTGTGTCGAGCGCGGTTGCATGTGAGGGCCATGCAGAGACAACCATGTGTAACAGTAAGGTGAGAATGAACAGGTGTTGATGGGAAAGGATGGCAATCGTGAATGGTATCACAACAGTAGTTTCAATCTTTACATCCAATAACCTTGCACTTTTGGTTACCATATACTGACAGTCCATTTAGATGGAGTAAACTGCAGAGGGAAGAAGTCGGAAACAGTAGCAAAGTGAAGATGGAGACAGGTAAACTAATAGAATGAAAAAATATATTAGACGCATAGACGTCCCTGCTTACGCTATTCAGTGCCTGATTGTCGATTAGACTGATCACAAAGTCCCAAACCGGGGAGTCTGACGCGACAGACATGACCAACTCGCTAGATCAAAATTCTCATATCCTAATGCCAGACTTTAATTTTAACACCGTTCACCCTCTTCTAACCATTACTTGGTTCGGCGAACCCTCCACGCCCTAGCAATCTACTTGGTGGCATGCATAACATTTGCCCCAGTGAACGTAATCTATAGAGGTACTTGCTCCACTGAGCTCTGCAGTTCTAGTCCGGTTACCACAGCAGACGCGAGCATTGCAGGGAAGACAGTACTATTCGAACACGGACAGGGTACTGTTATGGTTATCATATCGAGTAATCCTCTTAACTGTACACCGGCACCGCCCAAGATGCTGCAGCATACATACAATAGACCCATCGCAGAAAGCCGAATATCACGGCAGCACCAGAGGTGTCTCAGGTTGGTAAATATCAACCCAGCCTTCGGTATGCGGGCCGAAACTTGATCTCCAGGAGAGATGCGTTTCTTCTTCTTCACGTTTCAAACGTTCAGTTAGAACTCTCCAACCGCCGACCTAAAATCAGAAACCTCTAAGGTCAGCGTATTCAAAAGTGCGCAACTCGATTAAATGCCAAGGGGAAAACATAATCATTGCATATATATATATAACGTTGCCGCATTAGCTCGATAGTGACTCATGAGTAGATTTTAAAACTTACCCAGCATCTTCGTGCAACCACGAGGTTCTGGGCAACACAACAATGTCGTGATGTAAACTGTCCAATGGACGAGTCACTGCTTGATCCAGAGGTGTGAAAGCGATTTCACCAACTTCCGGAGACTGGGATCGGCCTGAATGCGACCGAGATACGTTCGGGTAGTCCGAATCGACAACTGTGCTTGTACCAGCACCACTGCTCCCACCTGGCGAACGTGAATGGGAACCATGGCGACGCCAGGGATGCGAGAATCGGAATGATTGGGGCTGTGATTGAGGTAGACGTTGAATCTGATCTCTTAACGCGTGGTGTGTGGGAACCACATTCGAGTGAGCACGAACTACATCGCGTGGTAGGCTTGGTTTGCTCACCGTGGCACAACGATGCGCGGCCTCGAGCACAGAATCAACCAGGTGTTGCGGATTAGTTGTATCAAGAGCCGTTATGTGAAACGAAGCGATAGGAGTTGATCCGGGCTGAGTGCTGATAATTCCACGAAATCGAGTGACAGCCCATGTACGAACGTGATTGAAGTCATTACATACTGGGAAACAATGAGACAAAGTACCACCGCACATAAAGAGAGCTGTTTTATGTAACCGTTCTTCAAACCGCGAGTTTTATAGTTAATATAGATTAATCTCTGTTCAAATAGGAATCGAAAAGCAGGAAATCAAATTAAAAACAACAGACGCGGATGTCAACCTTAGTGACAAATAAATACACATGTTACTGTCTGCGATCATGCGTCCTTGTGAACGTCGAACAGACTTAAATCAATTATTGATGGGGAAGATAACTAGTGGATTGTTGTGTTGAGACACAACCCGAATAATCACACACTGATTACCCGAAGGTTCTAGTTGTGAAACCTTAGGAATTCCACCCACTAAGCATCGGTAACCTAGCACCAGTGCGACGAGTAAAGCATGAATTGAGTTCTCTATCACAAATAAATCTATGCAATTATCCGTTTGACACATCCTAAATTTAGACGAGTGTGAGAAGTATAAACCAGGGGATATATAAAGAAATGGAGGATAAGTCAGTGCAGCTGGTGGAAGACAAGCAGCAAAGTGCAAAATCTAACATCCTGGACCAAACTGAGTCTTTATGCGATGCTACGGAGGAGCTAGTGATCAACCACATAGAGACCGCGCTTATTTCTCAGCAGCGTGGAACTCATCGATCCAGTGGTCTGGATACTTTCAGAATCTGATCAATAACCATCGGTGTGATATTGAATGAGAAAATCTCGAGAAATATCAGAAATATTTATTATTATTTGATCAGTCAACTGACAATACGGTGCACTAAGACACGTGCGACTTCTACAAACCCATCAACCGACCGCTCACGAGTGATTCGAAATACTGTTCTTTCCCTCTGTTCGACGTGTTTATTTTAACGGTCTTCCTGACACCTATTGAACTCCGATTGTTAAGTACGCAGATGACGTCGTTTTTCGACAGTCCATATATCGTGTTACTGATTCCTAAAGATATAAAGAGAATCATTCAGGATTTTTGAGTGAACTGCTCGTGTTTTTATCCCATGTGAGGATACAGACAAAGATTTGTCTACAGCATGAACTGGTGATGAAATTCAAGAAGAACGGAACAGCTATCCAATGTTCGTTGTTGACTTGCACATAAAATTCTTTGAAAATATATTGGATATTCAGAGAGAAACAAACATCTTCAAGGAGTGAGACTCCTACAAGTAACAATAATACTTTGATTCAGTGCCTGCATATTCGCCTAAAATAAAACAAGTGTTCAATCAGAGAGAGCTTGCCCATTATTGAGATCAAATTCAAACAGCCACAATGTTTGAGATGTATTTTCGTCCTACCACAATTACCATCATCACACCGTCAACCAAAGATTACAGTATTTTTTGACCTGAAAGAAGCATTCGACTCAGTTGACCACGAACCTATACTGGGATTGTTGCTTCGCAAAGTACGTTAACTTACAGAGGTCACTATCACTGGTCGAATAGGTTGTTCGTCATCAGCAGCGGCGTTCGTCAATGATGCCCTATTTCGTCGTTCCTGTTAAATTTCGTCGTAGGCGAAATACTGGAGAACGTACGATATGGTCTCCAAAGCGTAGGTATCGACTGGTTAGCTGGAGAAAAGCTGTGCGATGTAGAGTGCATCGATAACATAGTCTGTCTGTTAGAATGGATGTTTCAGTTTCAGTTTGTACAACCATGCACTTTCATGCGCCGGTTTTGGTTGCTGTCTCTTGGTTGCCCATTTGGATGAAGAATAGAAGAGAGGAAAGTTGAAAGTAGAGTCGAACAGAATATATTTAAGATCAACAAGTGCTGTTACCCCATTCGGTAAGGGCTTTGCACCTTCGAATTGCAAAGTGATGCTGCAGGACTGGATGTCACCTAATCCAGCTCTGAAACTAAATGACTAGGAATTAATTATAGTGGATCACTTTTCGTACATAGGTGACCAATGACGGAAGTGCAGCAAAAGAGATTACCGTCCGCGTTTCCAAGGCTCGAGAAGCATATGCAGGACTGAAACACCTTTGGCGTAGACGCAACGTTTCACTGAAGTTGAAAGGTGGTGTATATTGTGCTACCGTTCGGTCAGTCCTGCTTTGTGGTTGTGCGACCTTGAATTTGGGAGTAAAAGATATCCATCAACAAGAAGTTTTCGATTATTGGTGCTTATGCAGTTTAGCTCAGATGGGACAGAGTGAACGGGTTGATAACCCAGAGGTAAGCTATCATGTGTTTGAGAGTTTATCAGGGAAATGCTTCCTAGCTCACCGAATCCAGATCGGTAGGCCTTGCTGGTTAGGACATGTATTGCGTATGCCCAATTGTCGTCAATCGTACCGCGATTTATTCGCTGTGTTATAATTCCAGAAGACCGGTGCTGGCTCGAGGCGAGTTGTTTATTGCGAACCAGACTTAGGGTAGGGATAATTTAGCATACATATAACAAGATACCTCATTTTGAACATGTCATCGCAAGTCCCGGCAGCACACATGATAATGAATGAAACAAGCCGACATTATCATTTCGGACCGAGCAATGCGCTCTAAGAAGTCTTGTTTATTTTTTGACGTTTGAAGGAAACCGCCAGTCGCATGCTTTTGTGTACTACTCACAAATTTGAGTTGATTGTCAGTCAACCGTACGTGATCGGACCTTAGCTACATGAATCCAATGAGACATACGGAACAACGACAGGACAGCATCTTAGTACCTAGGGGTCATCCAGCTTGAGTGTTCGGCAGTTGATTAATAGTGCACGAAAACGTCTTCCATCGTCAGGAGAAAAAACCTCAGGTAACACGATGCCACGTTCATTTACTGGGGCTTTTTGACTGACAAACTGCTCTTCCTCGTGTTTAATTGTCGGAGCGACCTCTCCAGAAGTGAGTGGATGTTCGAAGGAAGCCAGATGATCAATCAACTAGCCTTGTGAGACAGCTTTGTTTGGCCTCTAATCTATGACCTCTCATGTATGATTGTATCTGTCTGTGAGACGATACCTTGTGCAGCCCGCAGGGTCATGGAAATACAGAGGCAGTAAGTGGTGGGGTTGAGTACCGTAAAGAGAGGCGCTCGTGCATCTTCCCAATCTCTAGGCAACCTTTGCTGATATGAATTCTATATTTTCTCGTTGGCACTGCTCTCAACATTCCACCGTTTTTTCTACTCACTAGGAAAATCGGTAACCAAAACAGCTTCACAAAAGTTAACGAATGTACAAACTGAAAGCAGATAAGACTAATGATGCACTAAGAGGAAACAGATAATCTGGACGACAGTTAAAGTATGACCTATGAGAGAAATGCTAACTAGAAANATAGACCAACCGGAGATTAAATGCCGTTCAGACAATACGACCCGAGTGACCATGGAACGGTGCACAGTGAATGTTTGCAACAGTTGAGGTCGATAGCCCACATTTTCCGGATATTGCACGATCAGGCAAACTCGACCGGATAGAGTTCCATAAGCGATCTCCATGCGATTGCATGTTGAGCAAGCTAAAGACAACGTGAAAAACGGAGGTCAGCGGAATCATTGAACCCTGTAACAGAGTTTCCATATGTGGTGAAAAACCAATGATGCAGTGCTCGAAAATAAAGCGGTAAGTTAAGCAATAATCCACAAGTGACCAAATATATTCCATTGTCTCTATCTTTGACAACGTGATGCACAACATATTCAATCTCCGGATGAAATCTAGAATGACTTCGGGTCAAAGACCCGTGGCAGTATTTTAGTCCGCTTTAGCAAAAACAAAAGCAAGATCAAAGAATTGAGGTAGTCTTTGCGCAAAGCATTTTCAAAGCACCAGGGTTAACGTAAAGTGCATTGCATTCTCCTTAGTAGCTGAATTTTTGTTGTGAGACAAAAATCTTTTGAAAGAATGAAACATCTGAATGCGAATCACGTGATTCTTTAGTCGCAGGATGAAGATCTAACGCAAAGAAGCCACGTTACATTTTGAACGACAATTATTGATCACCTGGCCGGGGCGAAAATCGATTCGCTTGCCTGCGGTATAAAGCCGATCGAGCTACGCGCTCGACGCAATTCATCAGGCATCGTTGTTGCGTGAGCCAGTGAATAACGCCGCGGAAAAAAGAAAACTGTGGCGGCATTCAAGTGTAGATGCTCCGGGGTCGAAGTCATATGTCACGTGCACTTGACTGATCTTAACCGCCAGGCTGAATCCACATCAGAAACGCAGTTTAGTAAAAACCAATGGTCTCGCACTCGACGACTTTATTGAGTGCTTGGTATCGGGTAAGGAAAAAGGCATGAAGACCACCATGCTACGTGAGGCAGACATGATCAATCTTTGCCAATTGACCAAGCATGTTTTAATGAGTCAACCAGTATTGTTGGAGCTAGAAGGTCCCTTGAAAGTTTGCGGTGATGTGCATGGACAATTCCGAGATCTGCTTCGGCTCTTCGACTTGTGCGGTTCACCTGAGACCACTAACTACCTATTCTTGGGTGATTATGTGGATCGCGGAAAACAAAGCTTAGAAACTATCAGTCTACTGTTTGCATACAAAGTGAAATACCCTACAACTTTCTTCCTGTTGCGCGGAAACCATGAATGTCAAGCAATTACGCGAATTTACGGCTTCTTTGACGAATGCAAACGGCGCTTCAATGTGAAATTGTGGAAGTGCTTTTTGGACGTATTCAATTGTCTTCCGGTGGCCGCAGTCATTGAAAACCAAATCTTCTGCTGTCATGGCGGAATTTCTCCAGAGTTTCTCAAACAAGACGTGTCGAACTTGGAAGACTTAAAACAGAAAATACGTGCTATTCCCAGGCCGTCTGACGTGCCTGAGGACGGAATTGTTTGTGATCTGCTATGGGCCGATCCCCTAAACCCGGAATTGTTAGACAACGAGGCAGATGAAGTGCCACAAATATTTCAGGAGACCGGATTCGCCCCAAACGAAAGGGGTGTCTCATATGTGTTCAGTCCGGAAGTCGTAGACCGATTTCTTACCCGCTTCGGATTAGATCTGATGGTTCGAGCACACCAAGTGGTCGAAGACGGTTACGAATTTTTCGCCAACCGTTCTTTTGTAACCATATTTTCCGCACCGAATTACTGCGGTGAATTCGACAACGCTGGTGGGATATTTTGTCTCAGTCGAAGTGTGAACTATCGACCGGCCACAAATGAAGAAGAGATTGATCTCGAGGGAAGTTTCCAAATTCTCTACCCGGAGGCTCGAAAGCGTTCGACTACGAAACGGCCCTCAGTGCCTCAGCTTGCCAAACGTTAGACCTGCGCATCCAATGGGGAACTAAACAAGTCAGATTTATATCTCAGACTGATCCGGATGAATACGGAAGTCAAGTCTGTGCTGATAAGATTCATGTTTCTCACAACACGACAACTGCATCATCCATGCCATTTGCACTGAACCAGACACCTGGACACGCTCTCTTATTCTCTTTGTTCGTCATCTCTTTCACTTCACCACGGATCTGCAAACCTGCTTATTCGATCATCCGAACAAATTTTCAGGTGATAAAAACCAACCAACCAAAACAAAACAAAGACAACAGAAACCGAACGGAGAGTTTACTGGATACCCCCTCCATATTTTTGGTGTGAATTCTACTATCTGCACTTTCATTTCAGAGCATGCCTAAATTCTCATCCTAGGATTGTGGCCTACTCGAAAATCGGTTGGGGTTTACTTGATAGATGCTTTTCTCAGGTCGCCCAAAGCGAATCAGTTTGATCCGGAATGTCGAACATAACAAAAAGCTAGAAACGAATGGATTCTGTTAGTGATACCGACTCTATGACCTCTGTGCAATACGTGCCTAACTATTTGTTCCATACGTTTCGTAGTTCATAACTTATCCTCTCTCACCACTGAATGACAACATGCAGGGTGGGATGAAAATATGGAATATCGTGAAATGCACACAAACGTATGCACACGATCGCGGTAAGAGCGAAGTAAGTTGCCGCCATGAAGCAGCTGGTTTCTCTTTTGGTGTTTGAACATGATTTTCATTCCTTGTGGAATAGAACCTACTGATCGAGTTGTTAGAAGAGGATGATAAGGACAGAGAATCTTATGGCAATATTTAGAGCAACCATTAACAAGATACATGCATATTAAAGTATGTGAAGAATACTCGTTAGAAGATGAAAAGTTATTCACCAACTAATTTGGCGTAACGCAAAAAGACCCCCATGAATGATGTGTATTTGCAGGTTTTCATACAACTATTCTGACTACCGCTACGTACTGTATAGAATGAGGATAACATAAATTATCTTAATTCAATAAAAAAATTTCGACTTTTCGATAGTCCTCAACATTTGGTGAAACCAAATCACTTGGCATCGATAATAAGTAGTAGGTGAATGACTGGACGTCACAACAAACTTTTGTCCAGTCATTCACAAACTAATTTTTATCAAATATTCTGCCAAGACCATCAGGTCACGTTTGTTGCGATTAGTAGCATCTAACCCACTTACAAAACATCGAATCATAGCATTGATTCTTCATTATATATATCCTTATTTTTTGGCAGCATAGTTCAAAGCACTCGCTATGTAGAAGATGTAAACTATAGGGGCATCTACAGCACACAAACCGATTAAACGCAAATAGGGAATATTGAGCTTTTTAAATGACGGCGTCACACACCCGAGTACTTACGGATCGTGGGAAAGTTTAGCGGATTTGGACGGAACCACTGGTTCTGATCGATCGAGTAGGGCAACCTTGGAAACAGTGCATTGTATCCATCCAGCGACTTCAAAAAAGGCTAGCGTTTTAGAGCTACTCTTGAAGAGATATTTGTGAAGGATATTTTGCTTTAGCCCACGCATTATTTTTCTTTTCGGAAAGAATGGAGGATCAGTGGTTCTTACTGTCCAGCGAAATGGCGAAACAAGTGCGTAGCTAAGGGCTACGTACTGAGCTACAGGACAGAGATCTAATACACAAAGAATATATATACAAGTTTAGAAACACATTTGATCGCGGTGAACTTTAATGGAGAATACAGTAGGCTTACGTTGGATAATTTGTATCCGGATATATTTCGCTGTATCTAATGAAGCGCATACTGCAGACTGTATGCTATAATTGATTCAAACGAATTGATAAAATTGCTGACTATACTTTATGTATATATATATATATATATACGTTCCAATTCCTCTGCAGTATTTGTTCAGGTACTCAAACTGCAGAAACATGGTACAGTATATGCAAACTGAAACTGATATGCATCGACAAAAACAAAGGACCTTAACAGTGTTTGATTATACTAACTATTCGATAGATTTTTTATCCAAGGCATACAGCGCTACAATGTAGTCTTTATGGTATTTTGGACAGGTGAACACAGATGTAAAATGTTTGTACTAAGTCATTCAACAAATTGTCAACGGCGAAAATTCAGGCATGGTGTATTTTTTAATAGAGACATGCTTATGTGATGAATAACAGATGGCTTAACCCACACAGTTATCGGGATCTGCTGTTAATTCATGGTGACCGGTAACCTGATCTTCGGGATTTGAAACGGCCAACTACAGACAGCTCTAAAATTTAAGCTTGGTTTGAGTCAGATGACAGCAAAGCTGCCTACCAACAACGTGGGTCGGTTGTGAAAATGTTGGTATGGTCGGATAAGAGAGTTTTCATTACTTGTAATTCTGTGTGTTTTCGATGCAACTTTGTAACTGAGTTTGAATGCAAAGTTGCTTCTTTGTGAAAGAAGTAGGTCGAAGTGTTCTACAGAAATTCTTGGATTGCCATTTCCGGACGAAGAAAATGATGAACATTCGCCACAACATAAAAATGCTTGGCGTTGAAATTTATGCCTTGCTAGTAGGGATCATTGCGATAGGCAGCAGAAAGGGTAGACGTCGTAGTCAACCGGAAGTGAACGCCCTAGGATCAAATAAAGGCCCGAGTGCTGGTCGATGACAAAGCATACATTCTTCAGTTGAAATAAATTCGTACAGTATGGTATGAAACACCTATATTCAAACTGAACCCTCCGTCCGTAACGGCTGTCACTGCATCGTGTTATTGGCAAACGACAATCAAGCCTTCTTCAGATACACCGAAAGTTCACTTGTAGGTTTCTCGCCTTTAGATATAACAGATCGATTAAGCACATTTGTTTTCTCCTTTACCGTCTGCCTTGTAAGAGTGGAACCCAAATACAGATCCGCAGAATCCTGTGAAAACATTTTACACTTGAAAGTGGAAAACGGACGGCGAACATGAATACATTAACGCGCGATTCACTCAGGAATGCTTGTAACTTAGCCAGATCTTCAATTAGTGGTAGTGTCATTTGTGTACTTCCAATCAGACAAACTGCCACCTGACACAGCATCGATGACACAATTCTCGTAGGATGACAGGATTATTTGGAGAAGAGTGAAGAAGGCAACCCCTGACGAAAACTGCACTTTGAGATAAGAAAGAGTCGTAAGATCGAATTCCATTGTTCTTAAACAATGGCGACAATAGATGTGAGTTTTCTCGGGGATGTATCCACTCTTGTAGATCAGAAAGCTGCAGCTTTTACAACCATGAATCATGCACTTTCGTGCGTCGGTTTTGGTTGCCCATTTGGATAAAAGGGCAGAATGAAGATTTGAATGTTGAGATCAAATTCAAGAGGAGGACAGGGAATTCGTATAGACTACGGTTGCAAGAATATTGATGCACTAGTGCCACTGGCGACACTCAGCATTTCTAACCACCGGTGGCAATGACCTCGGGGTCTCCATCCAGGGAGCCTAACGATACCTGTGACCCAGTGTGTGGGTTAGGGATTTCACACCGTTATGCCACGTCTTAGTTTAATCGCCCTTGACCTTTTTCCATCCGCTGCCTGCCTCGGCAAAGAACGCGCACCGTGGCAACCTATTTGGTGACTGCGCGATACATGCTCAACCAGCGTAATCCATGGAGGTCGACCACCAGCTCCAGTAGACGACCGCTATTACTTAAAACTACGCTTAACCTCAGTTGAATAGAAACGGAGAGAACGAACACCACTTTCTGTAGTGAACTCGGGCGAGAAAGTGCCGTAAGCTCGGACTCGACTTCGGTTATCAGTATAAACAGATCGCGAAATTGAAATAAACATCTCGGGCATATCCTTCAGAGAGAGGCAGCGCCAGAGTAAACCATTTCATTAGCCCGCTTCAAGTAAAGGACTTTTTCTCCAAGGGGAGTCCCCATGCAAGAGTTTGATGCGTTAGGCAACGCATTTTGCAGGGCATAACTTATGGCAAAGTTGAAGAGAAACGGAGAGATAGTGCAACGCTGCTGAACCCCACTGGTGACAGCAAATGAGGGTGGAATTTCACCATAGATCCTAACCGTGCCCGAGGTCTGGTGTTGAAGCGATTTTAGAATTAGAACATACTTCACTGGTACTCCGTATTTTCTTACAGAGAATACACTTATTGAAAGCTTGTCTATTCCTTATATAAAGTAAAAGAAAGGAATTCACAGAGCCTGGTGCCCGTGAAATCGCATCGTCCATTAAGCACAAGCACCTACAATCAGCATAACCGATGATCAAAGATATTGAGTGATATCGCCCAGTGCCACCAACAGTGGCCCACGTGCATCTACTCACTGTCCTCGCAACATCAGTCTACATAAATTCTCAATTTTCAAAATGACGCTGCTTTAAACACTCGAATCATCCACATATTCCCTCATTCAAATGGGCAGCCAAAACTACAGTATGAAAATGCGTGATTAATGGTTATATAAACTGAACTGAACTTTTAATTAGTCTGGCTAAACGATCAAGCCGGTAGTCGTGTGATCTGAGAGCTAGAGTTTCGGCGCAAGAGTTCGTGGATTGAAACTCGATAAGTGATTATTTTTTGTTGGTGCAGCGTAAAAGTAGCGAGGACTTACCAGTCTTTGAGCTAAGGTGTACGCTCAATGCTGTGACTGGATCTTGTTGTGGATCGCAGTAAATCTCAGTGACCAGTAAGTCATTGTCAACTATTCGGAGTGGAAATTTTTGAATATCTGAAACGAAAATAGTTGCGTAAAACTTCAACGAAAGCATATTTCAAAATTTGACTCAGCATGCACATGGATTGTCATCGAGGGATCAGTTAACAATTGTGAAGTGATTACAACAAAGAACTTGCAGCAATGGTTAAGTGGAGTCATTATTGTTTTAGAATCCCGTGTCCTAGAGTGTGTACCGTAACCTCACTATCAGCGGTCAAGTATCACTACTATTTCAGTGTGGTCTCATTGGACTCGCCTTTAAAAATACGAGGCGCACTGATCAATGAAATCTTGGTCCCGATCAGTCAACTTAATGCTAAATACGATATAGCGTGCAGTTAGGTTGAACATATATTTAGAAACACTAAAAATAAATATGATTCCAGCAAAACTGAAGCCGAGTCAAAATCCGTACTTAGAAAACGACGTGGACTGATAAGGGCATTCTTAAATAACAGTAAGATAGACAAGCGTCATTTATCATCATCCTCTTGTTTCATCAGCGATGGAAAGATTTGTGATGACTGACAAAGAGCACTGGATGGGTGTTTCATCCTTTTTGAGACTCGTCATCACTGTGCACTTTCTGTGCTCTCGTCAGGACTCGAACAGTGAACATTCGGGTCAGGACTTCAAACCGTTACCCCTGAGCTGCACTGTCGACGGTTATCACCTCGTGCGAATGGTTTGCGCAATGAGGAGAAGTAAATTTAGAATAATCCATTCCATTATTCACAAGCACTGTTGACGGTCTTGGGTGTGGGTTTTACTGCTTGATTCCCAACTGGTTCAGTGCGCTTATAAGCCATCAAAAGATTTGTGATGACCGACAAAGAGTACTGGACTGCTGACGAGTCCCACAAAGGATGCGACAGCTATACAGTGCTCCTTGTCGGTCAACACAAATCTTTCCATCGCTTATAAAAGCATTCAAATAGTGGGGACTCGACGATCACCTAAGGAGTGAAATCCACACCCAGGACTATCAACGATGCTGGTGCTTCTGATCAATCGAATGGTTTATTCTTAATTTACTACCGTTAATTCTCTTCATTCCCCGAAAAACAATAAAACGTCCTAGTGTGAAATTTCCATCCTACTGAAATTTTCGTTATTAGGAGGGCACTGCGAATCCACAAACCACATGGCTCTACTAGGATTGCGTAGTGAACCAAGGGGAAGTTGGCTATTGTGGTAAATGTAAATGTGTCGTCGGAAAAGTAGAGGCCATTCCAACAGGCCTAATTCATTTATTTGAAATGATTGATTAAACCGGGAATATACAGTTCACGCGCACCTGACTGGACTTGATGAACAATTACTTGATCAACACGCATGTCGCCTTGCTAACAGGCAGCAGATAGATTAAGGACGAAACAGAACCACGAAATTGGATCCAGTGCGAACTCACTGATACTGCATATACGACCGTTTGCGCAGCCCAAAAGAAGCAGTTCAGAAGCGGCCACACCGTAGCTCAGAATGGGAACCGTACTCCAGACCTTCAAAAACAGTACAGCAAACAACACGAATTGATTAAGCGTGAAATCTGGATGTGCCGTTGTTCGTTAAACAGTGGAAGAAATGAGTTAGAAATAAAGAAGGCAGGTACACAGCTTTGGTTAATCGTGATAAAACATACTGGACAAAGTGTTCTGCACCTGGTCGCGCGGTACTTGCGATCGCGGTCGGTCGATCGATGATATGGTAAAAAGGTCTGGGAGATTGAATCAGATTGGCAGGATGAAAGTGTCGGATTGGGGTCAGACAGACCCACAGAATCTTTATATGGAAATCCCAATTAATATGAACTCGTTTCATGCCAAGAGGCCTTTGTTGTTGCACCTATACTGAATTGAGGTAAAAACCAATGTTATGGATAGTGGGGATAACGATGTTTGCGTGCGAACATCATTCCATTAGTTCGTTTTTTTCCGATTGCACTGCTTGTTTGCACTTTAATGTTTTTGTGCATTTGATTTTTATGCGCAACTGAAACCAGAACTATAAACTCCGAGTGTGAAGGTAATTGCTACATCGAACTGAATTTAAACTGAACTGAGGTGAACCGAATACAGATCAGGAATCCAATACCACTGATCCGTGAAACTATGCAGTCATATAGAAGTTAAAAAGGCGCAAACTATTTTGGTACCAGATTGGGACGACTCGGAATAGGTGTATCACCTTCGGGTAAAACGGTTCTGGCACGATGCAAAACAATTATTCCAGTCACAAGTAAATGTGAGTTCGAAATGAAAAGTGACCTCCGACAAACAAGGAACAACCAGAGAAAAAATCTTGTGGTCAATGGATCAAAATTTACAAAGAGTATAAAACGGATAGCAGATACGAGCCGTCCTTCTGTGCCTCCTCCAAGACAGAGCAACTTAAACTACACCAGTTGGTTGGATGACGGCCTAACATAGAGATGTCCTCATGTTGTCGTGAAAAGAGATCCTGATAAGGAAGTTCCCTGTGAAGAGAATATGACTGAAAACCAGAAGACGAGACTGGCCGAGGATTGATAAAAAACGAGACAGGTTATGCCATGTTCACTTTTGCAGACTTTTCTACATCGCCCAATTTCGGTGTCAATGATCATAGGATCTGAAACCTCAGATAGGAACGAAATGAAGCTTTATAGTGAGAAAAAGCAGTTTGTAATGGGCTGTTAATTTATTTCTGTTTCCGATAGTGCATCGAACAGATCAACTGAATTTTTTGGGAATCTTGAACGATTTTACGAAAGGGAACCATTTTAGCCACTAAAAGAAAGCATGTAGAAATGTGTGATAAGCAAATCAATCAAATAGACGTAGACAACTGAAGAGATAATGCTCACAGTTATACACATAAAGAGTTTGAGCGGAGGTCACGGTAATCTCATGTTGGAAAAGAAGAAACTACAAATACGTAAGCCTACAGACTTGAACGAAATGTACAGATGATGACATCTGAATCACACAGTTTCCTTGAATTATCAATCGATGGCAAATGGGTACGAAATATTTTCCGTCAATTATTGTTTGCGATATACGCGCAATGTATCCGGTTTCATCCAGCTGTGAGGTGAGTACCCATCTCGTAAAACACATGCAGAAGAGTTCCGTCTTGCAAGTTCTCATAAATGACACCGTGAGCGACACGCAGCAGTTAAGAAGAGGACCCTCATGTACTAGACTTATGTGCATTGGAAGTGAGCGACGAATATGGAAAATACAGAACTTTTCCGGGACAGAATACGGCAAGCATAGTAAGGAAATCGGGCGGCATTATTTTCACAATGATCGACGTGTCTCAAATTATTGACGAATAAACGAAGGAAGAGAACTGGTCAAATGGTAGCACAAATACTGAATGGTATTCAAACAGTAGAGGTGGGAGAAAGCATGTAAATAAATGACTTCAGTCCGTGATCGAAGTGTAATCAAGCCAAGGAACGACCAACACGGACTAAAACCTGAAACCCTCAGTAGAGGGTAGGGGTCGAGATACCATCAGACAATTCAGTTTTAGCAATTTCTAGCTAACCTAAACTTAACATATGACAACCCGATGCATCCATCAATGAGTGCACAGTTGGAAGATGCACATGTTTACAGAATAGTTGGAGGGAAAAGCGAGATGAACCATCTTGATTGGCGCAGACACAACAACAACAAACTGTACCTAACAAACAATGGGTTTGATGCACAAAAGAAAGATTGTGTAATTTTAGTACTACGCTGCATTTGGAAAAACACGGCATACCCATTGATAAGATCCTCAAAGAGCGATGAAAAATAGCTAGGAACAGCAGAAAATGAGACTTTTTCTGTATATCCACAACTGACATGATCATACGGTAAGAAGGATCATGTTTTTTTAATCGTAGGCACGAAAAATATGAATTGGATTGATTAGATAAAGTGACTGAAACAATTCCAGCTTATAAGAAAACACTGCTATCGTGAACCGGTAAAAACCAATATCATCATTGCATAGTCCGAGGAATCTTGTATGAGATTTGTATCAAACCGATTTCGTCACCCAGACAGCGTTAAACTAATTTAAACGCATACACTGCATTTGATGAGTGTACAGGTGAAAGTGTGAAAAGTTTTTCACACAAGGAGCATAATGTAGTCCGACAACAAAGAAGTGATTGAATTCCAATTCAGGTTTCATTCGTTCCTTGCATTCGACGGGTAACTATATGCGAACGTATGTATGCGTTAAGTATATTTTAACGCTTCAATCAGACACTCGTGCTACTGTCGACTACGGATAGTAAGCGAAACAAAGGTATGTGATTGAATTAACAATGATGAAATGGTACCTGATAAATCCGATTTAATGATGTCGATTGCGAGAAACAGGGAGAGTTCAGCCTATATTTCATTTAAATTAAATTCATAAATTCTGGTCGCCAATTCACTTTTTACAACCCTTATCCATGCACTTTCGCGCAATGTTTTTAGTTGTTGTATTTGGCTACCCATTCCGATGAAAGGTAAAGATGATTGGAATGTCCCAAACAGTGCAAAGCTAGAAACAGAGAATTTCGTTAGACTAAGGTTGCAAGAACAGTAAGAAGGTGCACGATTGCCGCTGTTCATGACATTCAGTTATATCACTCAGTGTCTTTAACCATCGGTTAAACTGACCCCGAGGTCCCCGACCAGGGAGCCCAACGCGGTATATAAGACAAAGTCTCCCGTTCACGGTTTTCATACCCTCGTGCTAGGTCTTAGACTGACTGACGACTACCTGCATGGGCAAATATCGCAAGTGGAAATTCATTCGGTGACATACGTAACACATGCTCCAGAGGCGGACTGCGATTAACTAAAACTTGGAGCCCAAAATCAGCATTGCTTGTGAGGTTTCCCTACCAGAATCGTGTAATCCGAGGTAGAGAGCGGTGTTCGAACACCGACAGTTCATCTTTAATCTGTTTTCTTAATGGCCACGTTTCTGCACCGGGTACCAGCACTGACCGACTGTTGCAACATATACCCGACGCTTCACGAATGTGGCGGCGGCACCAAAGATGTCTCAAGTGGGAAAATGCCAGCCGAGCCTTCTGAATCTGTGCGACATCTCATCGGTGTAAAGTCTATCCGGTGAGACACACCTGCTCAAACAGCGAAAGTTATCTACTTACTCCACTAGTTAGTTAAAATGAGGTTGGGTGGTGGGCCAGCCCAATCTTGTAACAATGTTTTACATTATGGAGGCGCAAAACCATATTGAACATGGTTACGCTGGCATTCAAAGTATGCAGAAGAGCTTGCAACGTACCTGGATCTTCACTTAGCAGTACAATGTCGTCTGCATACTCCAGATCAGAAATTCGATCACCCGAAAGCAACTGGATGCCACTATACTCGCATAACGATAGGGCCGATTCAATAATCAAGTCTACTACGTACTTAAATAGAAAAGAAGAGAGAGAGCAACCCTGATAAACACTACTCCCCGTACTGAACTCTGGTAAAAAAGTGCTGTAAGCTCATACTCGACTTCGGCTGTTACTATAAGCAGATCGGAAAACTGAAATAAACATCTCGGGTATACACTTTAGGGCGAGGCAGCGCCAGAATTTGGAGGGGTCGACGGAGTCGAACGCCGTTTGCAGATCGACGGTGGGCCTACCAGAAGAATATCGGTGTTCCATGATTCAATGAGGAGTGAAGATGCGGTCAATNGGTCGAAAACCAGCCCGATTTTCACGCGTGCACTCCTCACGTGCGGCAGACAATCGACGCAGTATGATCCCAGCGACAAGCTTAGGAGCAATGTTGATTAAACTAATTCATCTGTAGTTTTCAAAATTGGACCTGTCGCCTTTCTTGTAAATTGGTATAAGCACCGATTCACACCATTCAGTTGGAACCCGTTCCCTCCCCTATATTGAGTTTCGTTACCTCCGAACCCAAGGCTGAATCTCTACCCCTAAAAGCTGATGGGGACGGCCCGTCTGGGTCGGAGGCCTTATGCCTTTTGAGAAAGCTTATTTCCCGGGAAACCTTCATTTCAGACGGAGGACTGGAATCAACTGGAACCATTTGTCCAGTCGCGGTGGAGGGTGATTGGTCAGATGTCCATGGGGGCCAGCTGAACTGAGCCTCGAAATATTCAGCCCATCGATCAACATGGCGTTACTGATGGTGTATCAGTGTGCCATCGGATTCCTTAATTACCTCGTTTGTTTTCCTGGGGTCCGTATTCCTAATTAAACGGAAAAGGTTGCGACTATTACCAATAGCCGCAGTCTCCTCCATCTCTCGCGGTCGTTCCTTAAGCGCTTGATGAGCGAAGTGATCTCCAGGATAGGAAGCTGAAGCTCATCGAAGGCTTCCTAGAGGCATAGAGCGAGGTCAAGCGATGATAGAATGCGAACATTCGAACTAACACGACGGAATGGTAGTTTGTACTGCTTGATCTTGAAAAGTACTATGGCTTACCACAATAAATCACATCAAGCCATATCCGAAGTGTAGATCACTGCACATCACCCTAACTACAACCGAGCACGCAGGTTGACCTCAGAGAAATCTTAACAGGATAATGATTGAGCGGAGCTAGAATGACAACAATAGGCAACCCAAACCGTTTCATGGCAAACAGATAACTAAACATTTTCAAACATTTTACTGAACCTTGTTTTGACCTAAATCTATGAGGGGCGTTTACGATAAATGCGCATTTCTGTCAGACAGACTTACCTGCCACGTATTTGTCATCACGTGACGCACACCCACAAGCCCTCGGCGACTCAGAGCGACCAGATGGGCACCGATGAATAGAAGATAGTCCACTGCGCGGCCATTAAGATCGTAACGACCGATCTGGATTGAACGGAAAAGGCACCGTAGTGAGATGCAGTGATGGGACATCAATGTCATAGCGAGTAAACCAAAGGCGAAAGTAACTTCATAATCACAAAACAACTTTTAATAAAATCCATTACGCCTTGCACAAAACAAAAGCCAAAATGCTCATTTAGAGAGTTGCACTTTGATTCCACAGTAGCCGATTACCGATCCGTCGATACAGAAATAAATCTTTCAAAACCGAATCAGCCAAATGTTTTTTTTGACTGTCGATGTCACGTATTCGCTCGGTCTTCCACGTTACCTTGTTTGGCCACAACACTTGGGGATCGTCCTCATGAAAGTTGATGCAGAAGCCAATAACAAATTATCTTATGGAAGGCGTCATTTAATTAGTCTATGGAAATGCCTCTTATTTTACGTTTGCTTTAATAAAGCTATCACCCACGAGAGCATGAGCCGGCTTCATGGATGACGTGGATTGCGACGGTTCAGTTAAGTGGAGTTTGAACAACTATTAACCGGACACTTCCGCTCGGTAGGTTCGGTTGCTGTCTTTTGCGACAAACAACCGACGACGAGTAGAGGCGCTCTGGGCAGATGCTAATTAAGTGGCGTGAAGTCTCTGGTGTTCGACATTCGTTGTGATGGTAATAAGCCTCGTACGACAACATAAAGCTAGACATGGGCCTTTGTACGAGGCGAAAGCTGCATACTTCGGTTGTCCGACATCGCAGGATGCAACCGAATCACTGAAGACGTTCAGTGAAGACCGACAACCGTCAGATGCCACAATAGCGCCGCTATACCGCTTCGTTTGATATTCAGCTCCATATTGTTCGCGCTATCCTTCATCATCATCGTACGGCCAGATACAGTGAAGCAAACTTCACTGATCGCTGTCAAGCTCTCAATGTACACAAATCAAGTGACAAAGACCAAGATGGAGTGGGATTGGGCCTAATTGGAGGTAGGGAAAGAAGGTGAACCTCTATGGTCATCACACAGAGTACACAATCGAACTCTGCATACATACCGTATCAAGCATTCTGATCTGATAAGAAATAACAACAAGAACGCCCCTGATGTCGGTTTGCTGTCATATCCTTCAATGTCTCCAACCAACCAGTTGCAGAGTCTTTCGGACCCCAGCCTGGAAGACGGAGATACCTATTCTACCTAATCGCGCTGTGCACTTCTTCATACCTGGTTTCCACATCATCTATTGAACTCCACGCGGTTTCTTCCAACCTGGAGCCGCAACTACAAATAAGACGCGGTGCGGCGGACGATGACTGGGCATCCACAATACGTGTTCTAACCAACGAAGCCGACTAATCTGAATTCGATGGGACAACGAATGCTCCGTCAAATCATTACCAAATACGCGACGACTTATCTCAGAGTCGTTTACAAGTTCGCTCCATCCAACGTGGGCTAAACTACGTAAACAACCATAATAGAAAACCTCTAGTCGATGGATATTTTCTATTCCCAAATTCAAGGTCTCACAACGATAAAGCAGGACTGAACGAACGCTAGCACAATATACACGACCTTTCAACTTCAGTGAATCGTCGCGTCTATGCCAAAGGTGTTTCAGTCCTGCGTAAGCTACTCGAGTCTTGGAAATGCGGGCGGTTATCTCCTTTGCTGCACTACCGTCATTAGTCACGCAACTACATAAGTAGGAAAAGCAATCCACCACAACTAAATCCTGGCCATTTAGTGGCTGAGTGGGAGTAGACGAAACCCAGTCCTGCAGCATCACTTTGTACTTTGAAGATGCCAAGCACAAACCGAACGTGGCCACTGCGTTTGTTAATCTGTCAAGTGTGTTTGCGCGTCCTGCATACATTCGATAAGACAGACGACATCGCACAGCTTTCCTCCAACTGCCCATTCAATATCTACATTTGGGAGACTACTTGGAACATTTTCCAATATTTCGTCTACGACGAAACTGAACGGGAACAGCGAGAGATCGCACCCTTGACGAACACCACCGCTGATGACGAATGGCCTATTTAGTTCATCAAAACCCCTTACACGACCAGATGTGTGACTAAAGTGACCTCAGTAAGTTAACGTACTTCTGGGGAACACCTTTTCGAAGCAGCGACTCCGTCAGAGCTTCGCTGTCAAATGAGTCGAAAGGTCCTTTCAGGTTAAGAAACACTGCGATCGTTGGTCGACGGTGGATGTGACCCAGCTCAAGGACCTGAAGCAACTTAAAAATTTGATCAATACATCCAGGATCAGGCCGGAATCCGGCTTGCTGTTCACAGATGTTTGTCTATCTTAAAGGAGTCAGAAGTCGAAGTATGACCAAGGCTAACACTTCAGTGACGATCAGGATCAAAAACGAAGGAACCATTCCTGAGTAGGTAGATTATTTTAATTATAACCAATGTAAATCGCAGGTTTTTTCATCTTGGCTACTGTAACCATGTTAAGATAAATTTTGCACCTTCAGATTATAAATGTCTACTACCAAATTCGAAAGAACAAACAGTAAATAAACTTTGATGATTAGGCAGAAAAAGAGTATTTTCGCTGCAATTTAGATAAGTTTTGCCACCTGAACTCGTTTAGTGTACACCAATTTTGGTTTTAACTTGTGTTAGCAACTTTGGTTTGTCCGTTCACGGCTTACGGTAAAATGCAACGGTTCAACTAATGTAACAGGTCAGAAGAGGGTGGTACTCGCTGAAATACAATTAGGATCGATTGGCAAATCAAGTGATCACCCACCACAGACCAGCATCATCATCACCAATTGTCATCAACCTGATCATCGGTATATACATATTTATATATATACCGAAAAACTCAGTATGATCGGGGATGGGTATCTAGGGTTGTGGCTGATCGACCTTCTCTTGCACCTCGCGAAATGCTCCCATACGACCAACGGTGTGTAATATCTCCTGCTGCGGAAGCCCTGTTCACTGCCCTTTCGTGGTGATATTTTCTCACCACAGTGAGAGAACGCAAAACTGACATCCGGGGTTATAACCGGGTTGGTGGACCATTGGTAGTTCACCTAGGGGAGTTGGCCAGAAACGCTGATTCCGAACCAACCATGAAGAGGCGTACGAACCACACCCACACCTTTTCGGTTGTGGCAGTGGTCACCGGGTGTATTGGGCACCTTAGACGTTTGACTCCGTCCGAAGGGCGAATGATCCGATGAACTGGACACTGGCCCCTAATGGACTGTGGTTTTCACACACCGCCCCGCTGCCTTGCGCGTCAGGCTTTGGCTAGCCGAAGGCTCCGGTTGTGAATTCCTCAAGAAAATTCACGTGCCTTGGCCTGGACAAGCTGGCAGTATTCAGCCCACAAGCCAATCATGGGCCATTTTTTCTTTTTTATAAAGATTATTGTACCATGATAAGTTTAGCACACAGTCTGTCCTCAGACAAGTGTGAAATAATAAATAATGATAATATAACACGTCAGCCCACAACAGAACTTGAAGTAGGAGGTTGTATTCAGTCGCCGATGAAAAGGAAAGCAGCGGGACTGATGGGCTCCCCCCCTCCTCATTCTTTCCAAGCTAAGAGGTGGTTGACTCTCGCCAACTCGATTGTTAGTTTATAACACGGCGTTTGGTCGGAAGAGCGTATTCCTTTTGCATGGCTTGAATCATTAATAGTTATTGTCTTCAAGAGCAGACCCAGCAAAGATTGCGCAAACTGCGATGTGATGTTTTGTTCTGATCGTCATTAAATGTTAACTTCCGTAGTGATTCACCGCCTGACGCCTTCAAGCAAGATTGATTTTCGGAAACAACAAGCAAGATTCTGACCAAGTTGTGATTGCATCGATCAAATATTGACCTCGCATCAAGTCCTCCAGTCACGCCACCGAAATCGTCGACCAACAATTGCAGTGTTCCTTGATCTCAAAGGAGTCATCGATTCACTTGCCCACGAACCCATAATGCGTGCGCTTCTTCGTAAACGGATGCCCCTGGAGTATGCATATCTATCTATGTCAGACTCCTGAACCAACCTCAACCTCACGCTTCACCCTTCGTGTGTCAGGCGATTCGGCATCCGAAGCTCGCGGTGTTGCTGGTGTCAGGATTGCGCTAAGTGCCAAGGCTGAGCGCTCACTTCTTGACTGGATTCCAGTCAGTAGCCGATTGTGCGTTGTACGTCTCAACGGTTCAGTTCGAGTCAACAGCTACAGAATAAAACGTCGATGCTTATTCGTCGCATCAGCGTATGCACCGACCGATTGCAGTATACCGAGAATCAAGGATGAATTCTACCAGAATCTCTCACAACTACTCCAAAGTGCTCAATCAACGGACGTTGATTATATATATATATTCTTCGCCTCCCTTCAATTCGATCTCAACCCTGTCATCTGGGATATTCCCACTTCCTTTGAGCACCCTGTGAGCTTGGCAATGTTCGGTGAAGTTCGATTCATTATATTTCGCTGTACGCTGATGATGATGATGATGATGATGATGATGATGATGATGATGATGATGAGCACCCAAAATATGGCAACCAAACGACCGCATAAAAGTGGAAAGTGAGGAGTTGCATGAACTTAACTGAATCGAGCAGTAGGTTCTCATTATCCATCAAGCAAAGAACGTGGTTACAAGGTTTTACATATTTTCCACGTTGTAACATGTAACCAACGCATTTCAGTTTACCTTTTGCATTAAGAAGCATGATTGTAGCATTCGCCATTTTCAGTTTGTTGATTTGTCGGCAGCTTTCTTCCTGGTTACCATTATTGGATTCTTCAAATTTCCCATTGACAAACAGGAATTCATGCAGTTATCACGCATAGTTCCATTGCAGCTACTACGATAACTAATGGTGTTTTATTTACTTCTTTCCAACTAGGTTTTCCGGCCGGAGTAAATGAAGATGGTACAAGGTTAGTCGATTACTCCCTATGTTTTGGTCTGTCTTGTCTGTGCTTACATCTGATATATTTCGTATGATCCGTTTTTCTGTCTAAACTACATAAACTGAGTTCATTGCTAATACAGCGTTTTCGTATAAGCTATGAGTATTATTTTCTCCGGTAATGGTTATCCACGAAAACCACTTCCATTCATTCTGAAGGAAGTTTTCATTTTTAATTCCCGTACATCATTCGTATTCAAGCTGAAAAGGTGACTAGTTGGAATAGCTTCAAATGAATCCGATTGAAGCGGTCAGTGCTCCTTTGCGGAAAGTACTGTGCTATCCGATCTCACAAGTGAGACCTGAAGCTTAAATTGAGAAATCTTCTGCTGAGCCAGTAGTGTGAACAGTTGGAGGATAAATGATTTCCTTATAATCTTTCAGCGAAATGTGAAAACGAATGATCGATCGTTCTCCAGTTCATGTTAGAGGCAATAAGTTTGAACATAGCGGATGAATGATTACTGACTCTGTCTATCGTTAAGGAACTGAGCAAATCGCTGACCAGTTAAAAGTACCCGTTCTCAGTATGACAATAACCTGATCGCCACCACTGATTTTCCTAAGAGAACATGCTTTGAAGGGACTCGTTTGTAATGTTTAAGGAAGAACATTTGTCTCAAACCGCTACTCCTTCAATTCCCTGGAGGTTCCCTAGAAAATAGCTCAGCTCTGTTTGTTTCCAGACGTGTATAATACGTAGCGAGCAAGTTTTTTGTCACTAAGGCAATGCCTAGTGAAAATGTTCTGTTAGATCATCAGAATGGTGTATGTGCTCTGATCAACAGTCTTTGTTTAACCGCCTATCGCCGAGCGGTTTCTTCTATACCTCTTTTTATCTTCATTATCTTGGTTTCTGTTCTTGAGAACTCACTCGGGTATTTTCGCGCTGTATACTTTTTGTCCATCGGGATAGCAAACGGCCAGTTCCACTGTTAAGGTTCCCCTAGCCTTCAGACTTTTATCCTTCAATCTTCTTCATTTCCTGGGGTGTTAAAACTGGAACATTGTGCTCTCTTTGTAATTTGCATCCACCTACAATCAGTTCACTTTCCCAAACAGAATCAGCAAATTGATCTTCAGTGGAATGTTCTCCTACCCATCGCGTCACTTTAGAGCCGGTCGTTGACTGTGGAATTCCCCCTTTGACTGTAAACCACTTCATCTGAAGTAATACAAGTTTGTCGAATATACCGCCACAACAACATGGAAGATTTTCATGAATATATATATATATATATATATATATATATAGTTGCTCTCTCNACTGTGTTAGTCACTGTTCGCCACACATAGCAATTTCGAACTTTTTATTTAATCAGTAACTTCTGTTTTACCAAGTCACAATTATTAGGAATAGAATAAGCTGTAGATCAGTTACCCAGAACAGTAGAAAAAAGCTTATAATATGAGTCCCATACATCTTAATCGACATTTTCCAAGCTTGTCCATGTCGGCTGGTGCCGACTATGCAACCATCGAAGTGCCTAACGCGACCACTTGATTGTGCCGTGAATGCAACTTCAGTAACACTTTCCTATTTTTTTCAACAGTTGGAATACCGCTCCTGTCTGGGATGCACAACGCCCTGAGGGCACCCAGACGCAAAAAAGTTCGTCCAATAGAAGTCCAACACCAACTCGGACGGATGTGACAGGTATACCGAATCCCACTGAAGTGAATGGGTTGGATCATGGCACCAAACAGAATCCCGTCCTGTTTCGTCGAACAAATTTAGCGGAGTAGGTTTCTTCCTCGTTCTAACCTGTGTAGTAATTGTGGCGCGAAATTTCATGTGCGGAACATAAAATACGAATCAAAGCAAGATGTATTCAAAGCGAAATGACTTGTTTTATCTCTGCTTTTAACTGCGTCCTAGATACGAATAGTCTATTGGAGAGAGGCATTTATCAGCATACTGCGAAATTCCCGGTTAAATGAAATACTGTTGAATGAGCCACTGATCTAACACAGCCGTTTAGACGATCAGACCCGGAGTATAATGCTCGGGCTTGAGACGGCATCCTTGTAAGAAAGAGTGACTGATACCTTCGGACCTGTCTGATTTATCAACTACAGAGGAGAGTCCCAGTCAAATTTCGTGTCAACTTGAAGAAGATTAGAAGTGGGTGAATCGGACTCTCAATCCTCACTGACCCCTTTTCATTTCCACTGATGAACAAGAGTGGCTGTTTGCAGATATGCCTTGATTATCACAAGCTAAACAAAGTGACCCAAAAGTATTGTTTTGCCTTACCACGATTGGTGGAAAATGTCAGAGCTTTGGACAATGCAAAGTGCTGCAGCACACTGGAACATCGAAATACGACCCCTTGATGAGAACACGGTAACACCAAACACATTTCTGTTCGAACCAAATCGCTTTTGTTGTCAGCAGAAAAAGGCGGGGGGGGGGGGGTTT